ATGTCCATCACACCATTGCAACATCATCCCTCAGTGCCTCCCATCTGCCTCCAGCAGACCTGGGCGACTCTTAGGGCTCTGAAGCATGTGTTGGGTCTCCTGGGTTCATGCTTTGCTCCAATCATTGGCGCCTGATGTTTCTCTCCTCCCACCCCCTCCTTGGAGCTCCTCCTTATCCTTCAAGATTCCACTCAGCGGACACCTCCTCCAGGAAGCCATTAGTAGACCCCAATCAGACTAGACACTCCTGAAAGCCCACATGGCATACCCTCACACCCCTGGCATCCTTCACACCTGTCTTTCTTCAACAACACGGCAAGCTCATGGAAGGCACACTGCAGGCCTTAATTAGCTGTATCTCCTGGAGCCTAGAAGAGAGCCTGACCTACAGCTGGTATTATTGCACAGGCATGCTCTGATTGAATGGTGACCAGGAACAGAACACATCCCCACCCAAATGAGAGGTCATGAGCAAGAATGATGAGTCCAGGGATAGTAGTGAATGATGGCAAGCACCAAATAACAAGACAGAGGCTCTGCTTTTATCCAGAAGATAACAACAGCTCCTGAATACCAAGCACCAACTGCAACCAGAACTGTGTCAGTTACTGCACACATGGTAACTTAACCTCGTGCTGGAGGCTCAGAGAGAGAACGGCCACCCAAGGCTCATAGATCTGTCGGCCTGATGCCAGCCCTGAACTATGCCCCTCCCTGAGGGGCCCTGCTCTTTGTTCTTGCTAAGAAGCCTGACTGGCCTCTGTTGGCTCAGACCCCAGTCCCTTATCACCTCTTCTGAGACTCCAGTATCCAGAGACCCTGGCCTCACAGCTTAGCTGTCATCTACCCTCTAGCTGGGAAGATTGCTTTCCTCCACCCTCCAGACACCGGGAGGGACCGAAGTGTGTGGAGCTGCAGGTGCCCACTGATGCCAGGACCATCACACGGGTGTTCAGAGGCAGGACCTGCTGGGTTTGGTGGCTGAGAGATCAACCAAGGCACTGCTGCACCCTGAATGGGTCTGGCATATCCAACCTGACAGATGTCCCTCAACAATAATTTTCTCTCCCCACCGAGTTTATTTCCAGACCCTCACGAAATGGGAGGAGAAGTTGGGGGCAGCAGCACATCTTTCACAATCTTTCCTGAACCCCAGACCTCACCCATTGCATTAGGAAGTTGAGAAGCAGAGGAATCAGGGGGATCCTTAGGCATCTGCTATCCATTCTTCCCTGCCTGTCCCCCAAAGGAATGAATGACCAGAACATTTCAGGACATTTCTCACTAGAAATGCATTCCACTGGGATCCTTAGAGAGATTCAGCCAAGAATCTTAAAGTGGTTGACCCCGGATAAACCTGACAAAGGAGTTCATCCCCCAGACCTTTGTCCACACCGACTGCATGATGAGTGCTGGGCTCTGGACTGGGTGCTGGGGAGAGCAAAGAGAGCAGAGATGCTCCTTCCTGGATCTGCAGGGAGGGACACAGATCGGGGGCGGGGGCAGTTATCTGTGAGCCCAAGCCCTGATTGGGGTGGTAGAGGGTCAGGCAGGAGTGGTGGAAGGGTGGAAGAAGAGTGGCCGGGGAAGAGCCTAGAGAAGCACTTCTGGGGCCGGAGCAATAGTACAGCGGGGAGGGCGCTTGCCTTGCATGTGGCTGACCTGGGTTCGATCCCAGGCATCCCATATGGTTCCCAGAGCAATGCCAGGAGTGATTCCTGAGTGCAGAGCCAGACATAACCCTTGAGGATCACCAGGTATGTCCCCAAAACAAAAACATAAACAGAGAGGGAGAAGCACCCTTGGCTAGATGTGAACAGGGAGCGGGGATCAGGCACCCCAGCAGCCACAGGTCACTGAGATTTGGGGCAGTGGACAGAGCTGCCTAAGGAGCAGGCACAGCACAGACAGCTCACCTGGAGGGTTTAATTTATGGCCCAAGAGTGGGGGAGGTGAGAGTCAGGGATTCAGGAACTTCACCCTAAGGCCCAGGGAAGGGTTTTAAGAAGTAACTTGATAGGCTCTGAGAGGATAAAAGGCCACTCTGGCTAGATTCAGAAGACAGGTGCAGAGGGCAGGGACCCATCCCCAACCCTCCCAAGCTGGGGGCCCAAAGCCATTGAGGTTATTTAGTTTCTAATGAGGGCTCACATCCAGCAGTGTGTGTGTGTGTGGGGGTGGGGGGAGGTAGGGTTGACTACTCGAGTTAGCTCTCCAGCCCCAGATGATGCCATTTAACAGCAACACTTTCATGGGAACTGAGCATAGCTCTGAGGGCTTTGTATAAATACACACGTACACACTTATGTATGCAGGTACACACAGATACATCTGAATACAAATACACACATGGCAAACTTGGCATACAAATATATATACACACACATACACACAAGCTTGATATACACACACATATGTATATATAGTATATGTGTATATATACATATATACACAGACACTATTATTTTCTCCACTAGATGGAGTAGGAAACTAAAGAACAGAGAGAGCGAGGCACTTGTCCAAGGGCACACAGTAAATGATTGTTGATTCCAGATGTGAACTGATGCACAGCTGGAGCTCTCAGGCTGCTGAGCACCCGAGCACCCCCACTGAAGATGATGAGGCTGGTGATAGAGTCGCAAGGTCAGGGGAAAGTGTTTCTCGGGGGAATGCTCTGTCTGTCTGTGAGGTTCCAGTTTACACACACACACACACACACACACACACACACACACACACGGTGGGACAGGGGGGTGGGGGGCATATAGCCTTCAATTCTGAGTTCCTGGGGTTGGAAGCCCCAAGAACAATCATCACAGGATGCAACGGGGGAACCCCAGTCCCCAGCAGCACTCCCATGTGGAGATGCAGAGCCTTTGTCTGGGGCACCTGGGAGCAGGGAGACAGGATTTGAGGGTTCAGGGGAGGATGTGTCCCATGAGAAGCACCCTCCTTTCCTCAGTCCCTTAAGCCCTGACACACAGCTCAGCAATCTCTGTGGGGCAGTGGAGCCAGAAGGGTCCTAAAGGGGGCCTGTGCTTGTGGCAGACTTGGTTCGGGCCCCAAATACTCTGCCAGAGTCAAGCCACCAGGACGCTCAGTGGCTCCACATTCCCTGTTGTCAGCCAGGTTCTTAGGAGGAAAAGGCTCAGGAGGGGTAAGGGCAGGGGTCCCCAGAGAGAATAGAGGCCCAGGGTCAGAGAGAAAGGCTACATCTGCTTTCTGAAAATTGCATCTGATGGGCTGCAAAGTTGGACTTTGAACCTGCTACCTCTGGCCTTTGCACAGAGAGCATTTCACGGTCCCCTTTCCCCATTTTCTCCACTTTAAAGCAAGAATAAAACTCATCACTAGCGCAGGGCTGTGCGAAATGTCAAAATTGATAATTGGTTGTTAAAATGCAATTTACACACTTTGTAAACTCACTGTCAGCTGTGTGGAATTGTGTTTGAGAGGGTTGGGTGGGATGGTTCAGAACCAGGAGGCAGTTGGAGTTGGAGGCTGCTGAAATCTGCCTGGGATGATGAATTTCAATCTAACACCAGGAGCTGGTACAGAGCAGACAGCTGAGGAAGGACACACAATAAGGGGTCATGAGCCTCAGGTCTTCATCTGTATGGAACTGAGAGTTGTCTTGAAGTCCCTGAGGACTGTTAATGGCACCTGCTGCTTGGGATGGAATGGGGACCATACTCAGGGATCCTGCAAAGGCAAGGCTGAAAGGTCCAGAAATCAGGGTATTCAGGCTTACAGCAGAGCAAGGAGCACAAGACTGAGGCCAGGGTCACCATCCTAGACAAGAGCTGGTCCACGGAACCAATCAGAGGCCGGTTTGGTGGGCCTCAGTGCCAACACCTGTTGGCACCCTGCAGCTCTTCACCTGCATCCCAGGAAAAACTTCATAAGAGATGAGACTGTTAGGACTGGGGTGATGACAGAGCCTTATAAATGCACACACACACACACACACACACACACACACACACACACACACACACACTGTCCCCCTGCACTGGCAGAAAAGCACTAAACCACCTAAGAGGCATTTCCACACCAACGGTTGGCCAGGTTCGTGCCATGCTGGGGACTGGCAGAGGAACTCCTCCTAGGCAGACCACAGAAGGCAGATACCTTCTGTCGGACAGCTGCGTTATCCAGACCCACAGCGTGGGGCAACCAGCACAACAAATGGTTTACAAACAGAGCAATGCTCCCGGTGCCCCCATGCTGTGCACATCCTTCTCTGCCCCACTGCTTTAACCTTAACCCTTGCAGCACGCTGCTTCCTCTGGACCAAAAGACCCCACAGCATCCCTGGTGGGGTCCAGGGCCTCACGAGCACCCAACACAGCTCAGATTCCCCCTGCTGCCCATACAGAGCACTCTTTAAAAAGTTAACAGAGAAGACAGCCAGACTGTCCTATCAGCAGCAGCTTTGGTATCCGTTAATATTCTGGGAGTTTCCTCCACATCCCAGAGGTGATAAGTGTTTGGAAACTCCAACGGCTGCTAAGAGCCTCCGTATAATCCACCTGATGGCACAATATTCCTATTGGTGTTCCCAACGACAACAAGCCCACGCTTGCGACGCATCTCTCTTCCCTGCCCTCCCTTGCAGGTACAAGATTGTTACCAGGAATCCCAGAGCAGGGAATTGAAGGCCCGTATTTACAGCAGGGACCATACCGGGCACAGTTGGGGGACTAGACACTAGGAGAGGCCAGGGCAGAGGAGCAAGAGAACCCCTCCGACACAGTCTTCACAACCACCTCCAACTTCGCACAACCTGGCGGGAAAGAGGCTCCGGGCATCCAAAAGCCAAAAGGGGGTGGCCAGAGCTTGGGGGGGGGCTCAATATCTGGGCGTGAAGTCGCCGCCAGGGGGGTGGGGTCCCGCCCCAGGGGAGCTGGGAAGGGCGTCGCGCGGAGGCGGCCCCTAACTCTGGCGGGGAGAGCGTGGGGGGGAAGCGGCGGGAAAGGGTTCGCGCCCGGGCAACTCACAGAAGAGAAGTTGTGCGGGCCGCAGAGCTCGCCGCGGTACTTGCAGGAGAGCAGCATGTCCTCCAGCTGGTGGCCCAGGCGGTCCATGAAGGCGGCGCTGATGCCCTCGAAGTGGCGCGGCGGCAGGAAGAGGCGGAAGTCGGCCAGCTTGCGAAACCACTGGCGGCGCGGCTCGTCGCCCCGCAGCAGCTCGCTGACCAGCGGGCGCGCCGTGCGGTTGGGCAGCAGCAGCCCGAGCCAGTGGCCGGCGTAGTAGAGGTCCCCCTTGGACAGGCGCGGGAAGCGCAGCGGGTTGTTGTTGCACACGGTGACGGCGGGGAAGGGCAGCTGGCGGCTCCACTCGCGGTGCACCCGCGTGTGCGACGGGAAACTCAACCAGTAGAGCAGGCGGTTCGAGGACCAGGACAGCAGCAAGCCGAGGGACGTGCAGAAGGCCAGCACCCACAGCGCCCGCCGCTGGAAGGAGCCCCCCGGCGCCGCGCGCCCGGCGCACATGTGCCGCAGCCCGTGCAGTTTAGCGCGGCTCAGCGACGGCCGCCCCCTGCGGGCGCCCCCCGGGCCCTGCAGCGCCCGCTCGCGCTCGCCGCCCCGGCCGCCTCCGGGCTGCCCGGCCGCCGCCACCGCCGCGGGCGCCGGCTCCTCGCGGGCCATGCGGAAGCGTCCCGGGCCGGTGAGCGCGGCCGCGGGCAGCCGGGCTCCGCCGCTCCGGCTCATTCATTCAGTCCGCGGCTGGCGGCAGCGGCGACGGCCCCGGCCGGGCGGAGCCGCCATGGGAGTCGGCAGCAGCGGTGGAAGCAGCAGCGGCGGCCGCCGCGCGCAGCCCGCGCCAGGGAAGCGTGCGCCCGAAAGCAGCTCCGGCGGCGCGGCATGCCCGGCCCGCCCGGGCCTTCCGCGAGCGCCTCCCGCGCTCCCCGGGACCCTCGAGTCTTCCTGGGCCACGCCCGGGCTCCGGCCGCTCCCCCGCCGGAGGGGCCCCCGCGGGGCGCCGCCTCTCCGGTCCCCGGGCGCTGCTGCGCCCGCCTCCCCTCGTCCTGGACCTCGGCGGGGGGGACCCGGCGCTGAGTTCCCCCGCACCCCCCGCCCCGGCTGCGCCCTAACCCCAGCTTTTGCGCTGGTCCCGGGAGAGGAACCACTTGGCCAGCATGCCCGCTCCGGACATCCCGGAGGACCCCAGCGGCCCGGCTGGGAGCCCAGCGGTGCTGGGACACGGGAGAGACGGCGCCGGGGAACGAGCGCCCCCAGAGGCGCACCGGGGCTCCCGGCGGGGAGGGCGGGGTGGGTGTGTACTGGGGTGAGTGGTCGCCCGGCTGGCCGCCGACCACCGGCCGTCCCTTCTCTCCAGGACCCTTCTCACTGTTTCCCGGGCTGTGCTCGGCCGAGATCTGCTAGGGCTCCCCACCCCGCGCCGCGATGTGCCCGCTCTCGCCAGGCTCCGGGGGCACTCGGGGCGTCCTGCCGCAGGCTGCTCGTCGCTGGGGCCCCTTCGAGGCTGCCGGCCGGAGGAAGTGCGAGGCTCTCCGGAGTGCCTGCCCCCGCGTGTCCAGGAAAGCCCGGCCTGGCCGTGCCCTGCCTCCTCTCCGCCCTCGGGAGCTGGGGACTGCGGAGCCCCGGCTACACCTCCAGGACTCCCGGCTCCGCGCGCCCTTCTCGGCTCCCAGCTCCGAGCCCGCGGTGGCGGCGGCGCGGGCGGAGCTTCTCTCCCGGCTTCATGGCCCTCGGCGAGCCCGGGGCGAACTTGGGCAGCGGCCGCGCTGGGCTCCGAGCACCTGCTCCTCGGCTCGCGGGCCCCGCGGCTCGGCGAAGGCGGGGCGGCGGCGGCGAGCGCTGTGCGCTCCTGGAGACGCGGTGCTGACGCGCCCGGCTCCTCCTCGCTGCATTTTAATTCCTGGCCACGGTGGCCGCTGCACACCGAGCGGGAAGCCTGTCGCTGGAGTCCGCGGGGCGGGAGGCACAGATGTGCCCGGCTCTGCGCGCCCGCGGACGTGGGGCGGAGGAGTAGAAGCCGAGGGTTCCCCGGGGGCGCCACGAGTGTCGCTAAGTGTGCCAGCACTGGCTGAGGGGCTGCGACGGGCTGTCAAAGACAGAGGCTGTGCCGCGGGGCCTGTGGACGCGAGTGTATGGGGTCCTGGATTGTGGGTGCGTGGACGCCCGCGAATGGGCATTTCGGTGTGTCTTATAAATGGGAGCTGGTTTGGAGATGAGGGCCGGCGGTCATCTGAGAGTTGAGTGGTGTGTGTAATGTAGTGTCTGCTAGGGCAGGAGCGTTGTGTGCTTGTTTGGGGAATTTCACGGGGCGGGGTGGGGGGGTGCACAGGACAGTGTGCGTGCATATGTGGATGGATATCAGAGTTTCTGGATGCGTGTTGTGTAGCATTTGTGTTGAGGTGCTGGGAACTGTCACCAACCTCTGGCAGCCTGAACCGGGTGGGACAGCCCTGTAGCTGCTCCTGAGGATTTTCTGTGTGTGTCCCCGGCACTTAGGGACAGTCAGGGTGTGTGACCTCCAGGTACAGAGGCTCTACCTCTGCCTTGTCCCAGCTGGTGTCCTGTCTCCTGCACTGAGGATATCAGCCTCCTCCCCGCCCCACCCAGGACAGCACCAGGGCTTTCCACCTGCCTCAGCACCTTTGAGGATACTTTCATTCTGCCTTCCTCAGAGTCTACCTCGCCCAAGGTTGGGAGAATGGCTGGAGCCTGGAAGGGAGGTAGTCTCCCTTCATGCATCCCAGATGAGAGAGACCCAGTTCTGACCCAAGCTGATGCAGACCGCAGTAGTGGACCCCGGATTTGACACCCAGGTGCCTAGCTGCCAGCTCTCGATCCTGAATTACAGGACATCAGCGGTTTTGTGTGCACTTCAGACCACTACCTGGAGTCCTGGGCTGGTGCAGTACAGCAGCTTGGTAGTTTTGTCTCCATTTTTTCCAACCATGGCCTCTCTGAGGCCCCGTGGCAAGGAGTTGCATTCTCTGATCCTGATTCTCCACAGGACAAAGGAGGCCCTCCGACATTCTCCTGAAAGTAAGCCTTGATGAGGAAGGACACCCCCGTGAAATGGGGTAGATAATTCCCACATCTCCATGTTTGGAGAGGGGACCCTGAGCCTCTATACTCTACTTCTCTCTCTCTCTCTCTCTCTCTCTCTCTCTCTCTCTCACACACACACACACACACACAACCTATATGAAGTCTAATTGCACACACATACATACACAAAATCTATATGAACTTCAACTACACACACACACACACACACACACACACACACACCATGGAGGTCCTCATTAGTTTGGGATGAGCTAAGGGATTGGAGGACTTCTGATAAACTCAAGCAATGATCAATCTCTTTATGGCACAGATATGCAGTGATAGGGAATACCTTGACCAGCTCAGCAAAGGTCTACTCATATAAAATCAAGCTTAGGCTGCGCCTGTGGGGTAAAAATCTCTTTAATTCACCCTTTAACTCAGTTGAAGGATCATTTTGGATTCTTTCTTCCCTCTGATGCCCTGAACCTTGAACCTTGTCAGAGCCCTTCTCTTAGCACCTTGTCACTGCTATACCCAGGTCTGATCTGGACTAAGTTCTTCCAAGACAGGTACCATGTTCATTCATATGTGTGTCCCTCTTAGCACAGTGCCCCAGCACATTCAGTCAGAGGCAGAGAGGAAAGGAATAATAATTTCTGAAATAGTCTCTGGGCTGGAGCCATAGCACAGCGGTAGGGCATTTGCCAGCCCGACCCAGCTGGGTTTGATTTCTCTGCCCCTCTCGGAGAGCCCAGCGAGCACTGAGAGTATCTTGCCCACACGGCAAAGCCCAAACACAGTAACAACAAGTCTCACAATGGAGACATTACTGGGCCTGCTCGAGCAAGTCAATGAACAACGGGAGGAGAGTGACAGTGATTCTCTGTGCTGAGTGCTGAACTGGACACAGAAACATAGATTCCCCATATTTTGCGGGAGATATTTTTGCCTTCCTTTCTCAAGGAGAAACCAAGGGCTGAAATTAGGGCTCAAAGTACAGAAACTGAACTCAACTCTAATTCATTCCAAGGTCTAGGTTGTATCCTCTCCATCATGCTTCTTTCCAATGTATTATGATAAATAAAAGTATTGTGATTAATGAATAATGTAAAGATTTAGGCCCACTTGCGTGATTTACTCTGCGTGTGAAAACACACTGTGTTTAGTGTTTGTGAAACCATGAGGAGTAGGAATAAATACATCATTTGATCTCCATCCCGTATCAGGCTCAGAGCTCCTAAAACTGAACATTTTCTAAGTGCCACGAAGCAATATCAGCTTCTTTTGTCTTGTGAATGAGCTGGCTTTAGAAACACCTGTGGCTGGGCTGGTTGCTAGGAGAAGCAACCTTGAGAACCAATTAGGGTTTGGAACTCTGGGGAGGGGAGAGGGCTGGAAGGTTGAATGAATCAATGGATATGATTTAATTTCATCATGGCAGTCTAATAAGGCCTCCGTAAAATCCCGGAAAGGACAGGGCCTGGTGAGCTTCTGGGTTGATGAAGAAGTGGAGATTTGGAGGTAGAGAAGGGTGTATTTGAAGTAGAATTATTTACTCGGAGCCTCTCCCCATATTTTCACCTGTGCATTTCTTCCATCGGACTGTTCTGAGATATCTTTTTATAATAAACCGACATGCTAATAAGTAAAACGTTTCCTTTGCCTCTGTGTGAGAACTCTAGCAAAGTAATTGAGTTGAAGATTGGGGAGGGTGCACACAGGAACCTCTGATTAATAGTCAGTGGGACTATTGGGACCCCACAGGGGTCTGTCACCAGAGCCTAAAGAGGGGACCAGCTACACACGTGGGACTGAACCTTGATCTTGCTCAGTCTGAGGCCCTCTGCAGGCAGAGTGCGGGAATGCAGTTCAATTGCAGAACACCCAGCGGGCGCTGGGAACAGCGCTGCAGCCAAGAATCCCCCCACCCCCACCCCCGCAGTCCTACATTGGAAATCGGGTCACGGGAACTCAAAAGGAATCCTCAAAATAACCCTGTGAAGGTAAATACTATTATTTCCTCGACATCAAAAAGGAGCCCTGCTTACCACAGAGAGGTTGAGCTGTTCACTCTAAGTCACACAGCAGTGAAATGGGACAGTGAGCTTTGAATGTTGGGCAGTCTGACTCCACCTGCCATGCCCTCCGAAACCTGCTACCCAATGCCTCTGCCTGCGCAGCCCCACAGACATATGTGAGTTCACTTTCCCAATCTGACTGACTGAGTTGGCTGGAAAACAAATCCCCCAGTGTAGAAGTGACCCACCTAATTTATCAGCCAAGAAATTAGAATTGAGCTTTGTGGTTTCTCAAGAATGAGCTTTGAACATTTCCCCCCTTTTTGTGTTTATCTCTAAAACATAGTAGGGGGCTGAAAAGATAGTCTAGGGGCTAAGGCGCTAGCCATGCATGTGGCTGACCCAGGTTTGATCTCCGCTGTTCCTTAGGGCCCCCTTGGAACTGCCAGGAGTGATCCCTGAGGGCAGGGCCAGGAGTAGGTCTTGAGCACTGCTAGGTATGGCCTCAAAACCCAGAACCAAAACAAGCAGACAAACAAACATCCATTGCTTCCCTCTCGGCCTGCTGGCATCTGGCAGATGTTATGGGCCATGAGGAAGGGCACAATGAGCGCCTCTACTGGTCTCTTTCTCCATGCAAGGAGTTTGTTGTGAGGGTATCAGCATAATAAGTCAATGTGAGTTTCTGTTTTTGTCAGTTTGGTAGCGGACATTTCTTTGAGTTTGAGCTGGTCACTGGAGCCCCAAATGCTCCTGTCCACCCCCAATCCTCACCACTCTGTGTTGCCCCTTTGGCAGGC